GCGGGTTCTGAGAATGGGAGCTCGCATCCAGCCTGTACGCCGCGGGGGACGGCTGCGAATCTCTTTAAGCTCTACTAGAGGTGTGGAAAGCCTGGACTAGTCCGTCCTTGATCGGAAGAGCTCGACAAGCCCAAATGTCTTCGCGTGTTCTTGTAATACAGACGTTTGTGCTGTTGCCTGACGCTGCCCCGACTGCTCTCCGGAGCTTCCTTATCAGGCTCCGGGGCGGTTGAAGGGAACGGAGGCCTAGGGATCAAGGGAGTGGCAGTGCACACCATTCTGTTTTATTGACCGGGGGGAGTTTACAGAGCACCTTCTGAATCCAGTGTGGGCGCCTAGCAAATGTGGGGGGAGGATGACGTGCACTGGGAAAGCTCACGTTCTAAAAGCCGTTCTCATCACACAAAAACTAGCTTTTCCAAAATACACATTTGTTTTTAGATAGTAAGACTCATTTAAACCTCCGTGTAACCTGAAACTGACAGGCAAATACCAGGTTTCCCGGCGGCACTCGTAATGACACAGTTTGGGGCATAATCACTAACATCATCTCTGTTAAATCACCAACAGCGAATTGATACGGCAACAAAATATTTTTTTCTCGGAAGGGGTGTTAGGAATTACTTGTACATTTCATTTTACAGTTAAAAAGAGAGCTGATCCAGGGTCTCCCACTGACTCATTGGCAACCTAAGACCTAGCACTCAGATCTCTTGATTTGTTTGCTTCTTTGTCTTACGTCCCACTGCCTTCTTCTTGGGACCCTATTTCTTTAACTCCACGGTGTTATAACAAAAAGATGCTTAATTTGTGAAGGTGAGTAAGCCGTGTGGAATTTTCAGTGTCAGTGAAGGGTGAGCATATAAAGCAGTAAACTGACAGGTGCTTGTAATGCCGTTAAAAAGTGATGTGCACTTTACAGCCAGAGGCCTTTAAAATACTTTAAGAATGTTTTCCTGTAGGGGCGCCTGGGTGGCTCAGTCGGTTAAGCGACTGCCTTCGGCTCAGGTCATGATCCTGGAGTCCCGGGATCGAGTCCCGCGTCGGGCTCCCTGCTCGGCGGGGGGGTCTGCCTCTGACCCTCTTCCCTCTTGTGCTGTCTCTCATTCTCTCTCTCAAATAAATAAATAAAATCTTAAAAAAAAAAAAAGAATGTTTTCCTGTATATGGTCAGAATTAAGATAATAGGGTTTGTATGTTTCTTATATTTTCTTTTAAAAAATAACCTGTAAGACATCCCAGTTCTTGAAGATGTGGTCATACTAGTTAGTGAAGGGTCTTCATCTATATATATTAATTCCAAGAGTCCGCATAATGCTTCACTTTCTAGCTCTGGGTGTATTAACAGAAAATGAAGGGGCGCTAGAAAGAGCTGTGTAGATCTGTTGAAAGTATTGGCCCATTTCCGAATTGTCCGGAAGAGAATGGAGAGAAACAGTATTTACACTGAGAGTGTCTGACAGGACTAGAGCTTCAAGCAGAGGTGACAGGAGTCCTTTTTTAAAAAATACTTTATTTACTTAGAGAGAGAGAGAGAGCATGGGCAGAGGGAGGGGCAGAGGGAGAAGCAGA